GATCACTCAGTCGTCTTCCCCGTTTTTTTTTTTAATTTGTTGGGGGGACGCGTTTCACGTCAAAATCCGTCTTTAAGTTTTTTTTTTTTACTTTCAAAAAATGCAGTGAGGGCTGTTCAAGTCCCAGGTATGAAAATCCTGTTGAAATGGGGGGTTTTTGGCTGCTTTCAATCCTCCTTCAACCAGTGGGAACCCCCCCCCCCCCCCCCCCCCCATCTCTGCCTGCCTGCAGCTGTCGGAGCTGAAAACGAGGGCCCAGCACTACCGCGAGCGCTTGTCCGTGTACGAGGCCCCCATCCCCGCGGACGACAGGTTCGACCGTAGGGCGAGGGCGAGGGACTGGTTGCGCTCTAGCAGCGCTCGACGGCGGAGCGGCGGCGTTGGCCTCGGCAGCGGTGCGCCAGGCAGGGTGAGACAAGACGCGAGGAGACCACACGCCCGTCGCCGCGCTCGGCTCTGCTGTCTTGTCTGTCTTGGCCCAACTAGCGAAAGACATGTGGAGCGGCGGGTTTCACCCTTTGGGGGGGGGCGGGGGGGAGGGGGTTCCGTAGGTTGTCATCTGTTGACCGTGGGGTTGCCGACCGACTGATGAGGGTGCGAGACGGCAGAGAAAGCACGTGGCCGTCTGCGTTATTGTGTTGGCGTTTCGCGGTTCGGTTCTGTTGGCATGCCTTGAATGACCCTCTACTTAAGTCTGTCGCATTGTGTTGGTGTCCGTTGCCCTTCGTACAGCAGCGCAGGGTTAATGGTCTCGTTGTTTCTTTGTTTTTTTTCTTGCGCGTATCTTGAGCTGAGTTTTCTTCGCCTTGCCCGCGCACACCGCCGAGGTTGAGGTTGCGGATGGGGCTGTCAGGTAGTGGATGGTTTTCCGCGGGCGGCGGGTGGGCCCTTGTAGTTTTCTCTCTCTGTTGTTGAAGGCGACATTCTTGTCTTAGATGAGTCACGATTACAAAACAGAAACCCACCGAATACTTCGACCCACCGCGCCGCCCTACATATCCCGATTCTTGCCCCGACATCAACCAAGCAGCAGGCGAGCAGCAACGGCATCCACATGAACGACTCGGACCTCGATCGGAGCTGCTCCAGCGGCAGCCGTTCGCTCTCTCCGCACAGCAACCACCACCACCACCACCACCACCGCGGGCTGTCATCGAGTGGCTTCGACTACCTCTCGAGGTCAGACTCTACGCTGGCGTCCACCCCGGGATCCCTCCGTTCCCGGGCATCGAACACCCCCAACGGCGGCGGCGGGGGGCGTCAGTTTTCGTCGGTGCCGTCTTCAGCGGCGGCGGCGGCGGCGGCGGTAGCGGCGGCGGCGGCGGCAGCGGGGGCGGCGGCCGCGGCTCCGGCCACATCAGGTGGCGGTAGCGGCACTCCGAGAAACGGAGCGGTAATGGCAGGGAAGGCGGTGGCATCAGCAGGTGGCGGCGTTCTCGTCCCGCCCCCGATCACCAAGATTCGCCTCTCCCCTCCCCCCAACGGCGCCGCTGGCTCCAGGCGGACTGCAGCGGCAGCGGCGGTACCGGCGGCAGCAGCAGCACCGTCGCCGAATTTTACCAGAACAGCGCCGCCGTCCTACGGCAGCGGGGTCTCGGGTGGTGGCGTGGGCCCCGGCAGCAGCGGCGGCGGGGGCTCCGTGGGTAGCGGGAGCAGCAGCGTGGGGTGTGTGCCCGTGGCCGTGGCCGTCGGTGGGCTGACTCGGAAGTCCTCGCGGAGTCGGATACCGCCGGTGGTGCCCGGGTGGGAGCCGGACGAGCAGGAGGAGAGAGATCGGGAGGAGCGGGGGGCCGAGGCGGCGCAGGCGGCGGTGGCGCGCGCTACCTGGGTGTTGGACGTGAGATTTTGGGGTCCCAGTTGTCTATATTTGCCTTGACCCCGTGATTGGAGCGCTGCTGGGTTTGGCACTCGTTGTGAAGGCGGAAGTAGATTACTCCTCCAAGAAAACGCCGACCAACCTCTGGTGTTGCGTGCCAGGCGTTGCTCTAGATCGTGGGGGGGGGGCGGGGGGGGGGAGTTCAGCCCTACGAAGAAAAGCGAGAGCACAACGATCTGCACCCCGCGTACTCACTGCCCGCATCCCCACCCACCTGTCCCCCTCCTTTATATTTTGTATTGTATTGGTGTTCAGGACCAAGAACCCGCCAGAGATACGTCCGTCGCAAGCCAGGGCGGCTCGGTCAAGGGAGGTGCGAGCGTGGACGGGGCGGACGCTCCTGCTCTTGAGGAGGAGGAGGGTGGCGGCGGGGGCGGCGCTTCTTCCACTCCCTCGAAACGACCACCTGGTGAGTCGTGTGTGTTGTCGTCGTGGTCGCTGTTGCTGGTCTTGGGGGGGGGGGGGTAGGTCGGTCGTGTGTGCCCGAACCATATCCTTGCGGGAGAAGAGATTTTTCTCTGTGGAATTATACACACGCATGCGACTGCTGGCGGAATGCATCGAGAGGGAGGAGTAAACGCGGCGGAAAAACCAAATCCTTTAATTGTAGTCTACTATGAAGCTGGGAATTGAAAATAAGGGGCGTGGGGAGTTACCGGGGGGGGGGGGGGGGGGGGGGCCCCCCCTTTTTTCCCACAAAAAAAGGGCCCCGGGGCCACCCAAAAGATGGCCTGTGCCCCCCAATCCCTCCAACCGGGGGGCCCTGGTTGGTTTTTTAAAGGGGTGG